AAGTGAGTAGAAGGAAGTAATTAACATCAGCACAGAAATTAACTAAATAGTGTTTTTTAAAAAATAATACAATGATCAATGAAACCAAGAGCTGGTTTTTTGAAAAGATAAACATGATTGACAAACCTTTTACCAAACTCATGAACAGAAAAAGCCAAAGGTTCTAAATAAACAAAATGAGAAATAAAAGAAGTAACAACCTGACACCAAAGAAATACAACGAGTTATAAGAAATTATTATAAACAACTACATTCCAACAAATCGGACAATCTGGATGAAATGGGTAAATTCTTAGAAATGTACAATCTTCCAAAACTGAGTTAGGAAGAATCAGAGAATCTGAATAGACAGATCACAACTAGTGAAATTGAAACAGTAATCACAGAACTCCCCAAAACAAAAGCCCTTGACTAGATGGCTTCAGAGGTGATTTTTGCCAAACATTTAGAGAAGAATTAACATCTATCCTTTTCAAACTCTTCCAAAAATTCAAGATGAAGGAAGAATTCCAAGATCATTTTATGAGCCCGGATTATCCTAATTCCAAAACCAGATAAAGACACTACAAAGAAAGAAAATTATAGACCAATATCCCTGATGAACACAGATGCTAAAACCCTCAACAAAACATTAGCAATTGATCCAGCAATAATTAAAAAGATCATACATCATGATTGAGTGGGATTTCTTCTGGGGTGCAAGGTTGGTATAATAACCCTAAATCAATAAACACGATACATCACATCAACAAAATGAAATATAAAAACCACATGGTGCTATCAATAGATGCAGAAAAAGCATTTGATAAAATACAGCATCTATTTATGATAAAAACTCTCAGCCAAGTGGGAGTAGAAGGAATATACTTCAACATAACAAAGGCTATATATAACAAACCCAGGTCAATAAAATACACAATGGGCAAAACTAAAAGTATTTCCATTATGACTGGGAACAAGACAGGGATGTCCACTTCCACCACTCTTAGTCAACATAACACTGAATTCCTAGCCACTGGACAGAAAATAGAAATAGACAGCAAAGGTATCCAACTTTGAAAATAAAAAGTAAAAATGTCATTATTTGCAGATGACACGAGAGAACCCTAAAGATTCCACCATAAAACTATTAGAACTGATAAATGTATTCAGTAAAGTAGCAGGGTACAAAATAAATATCCAGAAATCAGTTGTATTTTAAAAACATATATTTTTATTGATTTGAGAGAGGAAGGAAGAGAGAGAGAGAGAGAGAGATAAGAAACATCAATGATGACAGAGAATCAATTGATTAGCACACCCCCTACTGGGGATTGAGCCCACAACCCGGGAATCAATTGAACCATGACCTCCTGGTTCATAAGTCCACGCTCAACCACTGAGCTACACCAGCATGGCTCTGAAATGGTTTTTAATTTATTTATTTGTTTTGTTTTGTTTTAACTAAAAAGCAGTTTGTGGTGGGTAGTCAGGTCCTAGGCTGGTCTCTTCCCTGACGAAGGTCAATCTTTAACTGAAAGTGTCTTTCTCTTTTAGCAAAATGTTCTCCAGGTCCATCCATGTTGTCATTGGAATGTCAAAGCTATTTTTTTTCTGGGCCCCTGAAAGCAAAGCACCACTCTGTGGAGACCACAAATCCCCTCATAGTTTCTAAGTTAATTGCTGACTGTTAACTGTCCTGCACCCACTTAAAGAAGTATGTGTCCATCATTTCACTTTATTTTTTTATTAAATATATTTTATTGATTTTTTACAGAGAGGAAGGGAGAGAGAGATAGAGAGCTAGAAACGTCGATCAGAGAGAAACATCGACCTGCTGCCTCTTGCACACCCCCTACCGGGGATGTGGCCGCAACCAATGTACATGCCCTTGACCGGAATTGAACCCGAGACCTTTCAGTCCGCAGACAGACGCTCTACCACTGAGCCGAACTGGTTTCGGCCATTTCACTTTTTATACAGTCCCAGAGGTTTCCCCTCCTTGCTTTTTCCCACCTCCCTAATTTATCACTAATGGATTTCATTAACCCACTTAAGCCTCCTCTTTTGATTGTAATGTATAAAACAAGGTGAAAAACCGCCATTCTCTGGAGCATTATCTCAATCTGGTGAGATTCTGCTTCCTGGGATTGTCAACAGTTTGGCTCAAATAAACTCACAAAAGTTCTTCAGAGGTTTGAATGTTTCTTATGTTAACAATGAAAATGTCCATACTATTCAAAGCAATCTACAGATTTAACACCAGTCCTACCAATATACCAATGGTGTTCCAAAAATTTATATGGAACCAAAGAAGACCCTGAATAGCAACAATGATCTTGAGAAAGAAGAACAAAGTTGGATGAATCATACTACTAATATCAAACTGTACTATAAGGCCACAGTAATCAAAACAGCTTGGTACTAGCATAAAACTGACATAAAGATCAATGGAAAAGAATAGAAAACCCAGAAATAAATCCACACCATTGTGGTCAATTAATTTTGATAAAGGAAGTAAATCACACAATGGGCTAAAGATATTAATAGAGTTGGGAAAATTGGACAAATATGTGCAAAAACAATGAAACTAGACTACCTTCTTACACCACACACAAGAATACACTCAAAATGGATTGAAGACTTAAATGTTAGACTTGAAACCATAAAAATTCTGGAAGAAAACATAGACAGTAAAACCTTGAGCATCTCTCATACCAATTTTCTTTTCTGATATATCTCCTCAAACGAGGGAAGCAAAATTAAAAATAATCTAATGGGACTAATCTATACTAATAAAAGGTAATATGCTAATTAGAACGGACATCTTCCAGACAAGCCATGGTGGCAGGGGTCGAGGCAGAGGCAGTTAGGGGTGATCAGGCCAGCAGGAGGGAGCAGTTAGGCAGTGATCAGGCTGGCAGGCAGAGGTGGTTAGGGGTGATCAAGCAGGCGAGCAGTTAGGAGCCAGTGGTCCCGGATTTTGAGAGGGATGTCTGATTGCCGGTTTAGGCTTGATCCCTATGGGATTGGGCCTAAACCGGCAGTCAGTCATCCCCTGAGGGGTCCTGGATTGGAGAGGGTACAGACTTGGCTGAGGGACACCCTCCATGCATGAATTTCATACACAGGCCTCTAGTTTATACTAATAAAAGGGTAATGTGCTAATTAGACTGATAGACCGGACTTCTTCCAGATGTCATTTCGGATTCCTTACTGACAAAGCTGGGGGCATGGCCGGCCTGCAAACTGCCTATGGCCCCTTGCCCAGGCTGGCCCCACCCCAAGCAGGGACCCCCACCCTGATCCAGAGCCCCCTTCAGGGAAGGCTAGCTGGCCCCCACCTGTGCACCAGGCCTGTGCACTATATAATAAAAGGGTAATTGAACCTAAAGGTGGAATGATCAGAAGACCACTCACTGGACCAGTCACTATGAGGTGAACTGACCACCTCTTGGTGCCTTTCTCCAGCCAGCAGGCTCCCATAGTCTGATGGCCACTCTTGGCGGGGGGCAGGGCCAGCAAGCAGGGGGGAACAGCCGACCTCTTGGCCCCCCCCCCCCCCCACCTGCTGTCAGGCATGGATCATCCAATGGTGAATGGGGAACCAGGGGTGGGTGGCGGCAGGGGGCAGGGCTGGCTGTGGGCAGGTGGGGAAGATGGCCCTGATTGCAGGCCAGGCCAAGCGACCATACTGTGTACGTATTTCATGTACAGGGCCTCTAGTTAAACTATAAAGTTTTTGCACAGTAAAGGAAACTATCAACAAAATGGAAAGATGACCTGCTGAATGGGAGAATGTACTTGCCAATGATACATATGATAAAGGGTTAATATCCAAAGTTTATAAAGTACTTATAAAACTCAACACCAAAAACCCCCAAACAATCCAATTAAAAAATAGGCAAAGAACCTAACTGTCTCCAAAGAAGACATACAGATGGCCAGTGGACACATGAAAAGATGCTCAGCATCACTGTCCTCAGAGAGATGCGCATTACAATCACAATGAGGCACCACCTCACACCTGTCAGAAGGGCCATCCCCAGTAAACCAGCAAGCAGTGCTGGTGAGGATGCGGGAGAGGGGACCCTGTGCATGCAGACTGGTGCAGCCACTGTGGAAGCAGTATGGGTTTCCTCAGAAAATTCAGAACGGAGCAGCCTTCTGACTCAGCAATTCCACCTGCGGGCATATATCCTACGGAAACGGAAACACTAATTTGAAGGAATATATGCAGCTCTGCGATTATTGCGGTGGTATTTACAGTAGCCACATTGTGGGAACAGCCCGGTGCCCAGAGAGAGAGGAAAAAGCTGCTTCCCTGCAGTAACCGAGACACTGTTGTTTGTGTGTGCGCTGGTTTATTTACCAGAAATTAGCTTCATTTCCCTGTTTCAGATTTATTTCATTTTCCCCATCACCATTTATCCCCTCTACGCCGTCTTCCACCTCTACCCGTCTCCTTCCATCCCCAAAATCACCACATGAGCTCTTTCTCTTTTTTCTTTTTTACTCACCCCCGCACTCCCAGCCCCCTCCCGGGATGTCTCTGTGAGTCTGTCTCTGTGTGGCCTGCTAGTTCAGTTTGTTGATTAGCGTCCACACACGAGTGAAGTCACATGGCACCTGTGTTTCTCCGACCGGCTCATGGCCCTTAGCACAATGCGCTCCAGGTCCCTCCATGCTGCCCCAGGGAGCATTTCCTCCTCTTTGTGGCCGAGCGGTTTTCCCCAGACCGAGCGGCTCTCTCCAGAGCCTGGCTCTGAGCGGAGGCGCACAGCCGGGGCTGGAATGAGGCTAAAGGCGGGGACAGCAGATGCACCGAGGCAGCTGACTGTGTGAACCGTCCTCAGCGGCAGCTGGCTTCCCGCCCTCAGAAGAGCTGCCATGCTGGGGTGCGGTGAGGAAGGAAGACCCCCGGGAGATTGTGGCCTGCTTTCGTGGAGCGGGAGGGAGAGCAGAGGCTGCCCGCCCCGCCCGCCCGCAGTCCGCCTGGAGAGCGGGGCACAGCGCCTTACCTGGTGCACACAGGCCTTGGCGTTCAGGAAGAACAGCTCCACGGTGGTCCTGTCCTTCAGGAACGAGATGCTCTCGATGTAAAACCTGGAAAACAGCAGCAGGTTTGTCCTTCAGATCTCTCCCTCCTCCTGGCATAGTTTCATCCCTCATTCCATTCCCCCCTTCTCCCAGCATCATCCCCTCATTCCATTCCCCCAGTCAGAGAGATTCTGAGAAACCAAGGCACGCTCCTGCTGCCCCCGCCTTTCAAAGGAGCCTGCAGTCAGCGTGCGTGTGGGTGAGTGTGCACATGGGCAAGTCCCCTCGCTCAGGTGCGTGTGGGTATGTGTACACAGGCTGTCCCCTCGCTCAGGTGCGTGTGGGTGTATGTGTGTACACAGGCTGTCCCCTCGCTCAGGTGCGTGTGGGTGAGTGTGCACACGGGCAGGTCCCCTCGCTCAGGTGCGTGTGGGTATGTGTACACAGGCTGTCCCCTCGCTCAGGTGTGTGTGGGTGAGTGTGTGCACACGGGCAGATTCCTCGCTCAGGTGCGTGTGGGTGTGTGTGTGCACATGGGCAGGTCCCTCGCTCAGGTGCGTGTGGGTGAGTGTGTGCATGTATGCAGATGCCCTCGCTCAGGTGCGTGTGGGTGTGTGTGCACATGGGCAGATCCCTCGCTCAGGTGCATGTGGGTGAGTGTGCACACGGGCAGGTCCCCTCGCTCAGGTGTGTGTGGGTGAGTGTGTGCATGTATGCAGATGCCCTCGCTCAGGTGCGTGTGGGTGTGTATGCACATGGGCAGATTCCTCGCTCAGGTGCGTGTGGGTGAGTGTGCACACGGGCAGGTCCCCTCGCTCAGGTGCGTGTGGGTGTGTGTGCACATGGGCAGATCCCTCGCTCAGGTGCGTGTGGGTGTGTGTGCAGTGTACACACGGGCAGGTCCCTCGCTCAGGTGTTTGCTGTCGGGAGAGAGTTACAGGGACTCACTTGGCCTCTCGTTTGGCTGGAATCCCTAAGGCAGCTTCAAATCGGCCCTTGAGGGTGAGGGTTGAGGGCAGAGCAGGCCCATGAGCCAGTAGCTGAACCTTGAGGCCTGTGGCTTTCAGACCCCAGGGCAGCAGGAGTCTCAGCAATAGCCTCCTCCCCCATCTCCCATCCCCCTACCAGGCAGGCCTTTCCCTTGGCTGGAAGCCAAACTCTCAGCAGACCTTAACTTTGGTCTTTTCTCTGGCAAATGGGGGCACTGGGCCCTGCTGCCTGGCCTGCTTCTTGGGCCTTTGCTGGGTCAGCTGCAGGTCCCAGTAGGCGGCTGAGAGGCCCTGGGGAGGGGGGCTCCTCCACAGTTTCTGTTTTCGGCATGTAGACAGCAGGTGGGCGAGCGGGCCTGGGGCAGGAGGGGCCCGCGGCCCAGTGTTGGCCCCCGCTGAGCCACTCAGGGACCCGCCCCGCCCTGCCTCGCCCCTCCCAGCTGGCCACCCCCAGAGAGAACTTGCTCTCCTGGAGGGAGGGTCAAGATAAAGTCGCTGCAGGATCATGCCTGGCCTTGGGCACTCCCCCTCCCAACCCTTCAACATGCAAAGCACGTGAAGAAATAAGAAGGCCTTGGGAGACTATCAGGGAGATGGTAAATCATTTGAAAAGTTCCATCGCTAATGTTGAATCACCAAGTTCCAGAAAGCCTGCTCCAAAAGGAGGCCCTGGTGGGAGGCCCTGGTCAGAGGCCGAGCACACCGACCTACTGACCTACCCAACCGCCTCTCAGGGGGTCAGAGGGCAGAGGGTCAGAGGGCAAGGGTCAGAGCAGGAGTCACAGTGGGGACCCAGCAGGAGGCCGATGCCCGCCTCTCAGCAGCCCAGGGGGGCGAGGGTGCGGGGCGCTTCCTGCCTCCTCAGCCTCTGCCATCCCTCCGCTGACAGACCGCACCGCGGCGGCGGCCACCTGTCCGCAGCCTTCCCCTGGGGGCAGGTGCCGGTAGGTACCCCCACTTCACAGGCACAGAAACTGAGTTCTGGAGCTGCGCTTACTGGCAGGGTGAGGCCCCTTTGGGGCCTGGGACTCCATAGACTCTCCTCCTGGTGGCCTCGGCCAGCCCCCAGCAGCAGGCTTCCCCTTAGAGAGAGGACAGCAGCCCCAGCACCCTCCCCCCACAGTGCCCTGCGCAGAGTGGACCCAGAACCGGGGGACATCAGGGGAGAGACCTGGAGGTGGCCCATGAATGGCCGGCCTACGGGAGTCTCAGGCGGGAGGCGCCCAGACCCATCCCTCGCTGCCCGTCTCAGTCAGACCGAGAGCTCGGCTCCCTCCCTCTCTGCGGAAAGCGGGAAATTCTCTTTGCCTTTCCCTTTTGATCACTTCACTGTGTAGCTCTAGCAAAGAAGGCTGGTATTACGAGCATAATCTCAATGAACTTTCATACTAACAAAGTTCATAATACGTTCTTAATATTTAAAACCCAGTCATTCACATTTTTTCCTTGTTTCCAAAACTTTTTTGGTGAATTTGCAATTTATGTTTTAGATAAAGCCGGTTACAGCAAGAGTTACGTGCACAAGGCTAGTTCCTGCCGGATTCCTATCTTCTCGTGGCCTCGCTGGCTCAGTTTTCCTTCAGTTCTCTTAGCTAGCCCAGCGGGTTCCTGTTCCTGGCCACCAGACTCCAGACTCACAGCGGCCTTCCTGCGTGCAGGGACAGCGCCTGTACAGGACTCTGCATGCATCGTTTCCTCCCATGCCCAGGACAACCAGAGGCTGCAGGTGGCACATTGCAAACCCATTCTACAGGTGAGAAAACTGACATGTTGAGCATCTTCTCCAAGCCATGTAGGTGGAGCTATGATTCCAGCCAAGGCCGGGCAGACTCCCAAGCCCATATTCCCAACAAGCATGGCACACCCTTCCCCACAGCAGTGCAATGACTGGAACACGGACACTGTGACGGGGCCCAGGGCGGGCTGCCACGAGCTCAGCTTCTGGCTGGAGAGGGAGAGGCTGCCAAACTGAAATGCAGAGGAGTGTGCACTGCAGGACAGCTGAGCCGAGTATTAAAGAATGCATGAGCTCCCCAGGTAACCAGGGGGAAGGCCCCGGGGGAGGGCACGCTAGCCAGACCGTCCTGCGCGTCTGTGAGAATTTAAGAACCCGTAGCAGGGAGCTGGGCGGCCGAGCCCAAATCCACGTGGCTTATCCGCTCTGAACTGACATCTTTGTGCGGGAACCTGGGCTCCCTGCCCCTGAGGCCAGGCCCGGCTCTGGTGAACTGGCCCTGCCCCGGTTCCCATGCTTCCTGGCACTGCGCCTGCCGCTCTCTCCTCTCTGCCGGCATCCGGTTACCTGCTCCCTGAATGCTCAGCCCCTCTCTCCCTCAGGGGCCCATGGCCATGACCATGACCGCGTATCTCTGGCGGGTCCTCTGGGAGGACAGCTCCCCGGAGCACCCATCCACACCCACAGGAGCTGGGAACGGGCTCCGGGCCTCTTCGCCGAGGGAACGGACCGCCCACACGCAGAGTGCAGCCTCTGTCCAGCCCTGAGGCAGAGGGTCCGTGTCCCCCTGCAGGCCGTGGGCTTCCCCGGGTTCTGTGCCGGCGAAGCCCGGGGTGAAATTTCGGTCTCAGCACCCAGGCTTCTGGCCGGGCTGGGGATGTGGTTTGGAGACAAGCCTCCTGCAGCGGAACAAGGGCCATTTCTGAGAAGAGCCTTTGCTTGGAGCGGTTCTGTCTCTGCTCCTCCCACCAGCATGGTCCCCTTCCTGATGGGACAGGCGCTCACCAACCACTCACAGCGATAACGGAGCACTGCCTCTGTGCAGGCAGAGAGGGTGTGCGGCGGGCAGACCTGCTGGCCAGAGGACACCACCTCAGCCACAGCCCGCAGGGTCATTGGGCACGGCTGCCCACAGCGGTCTGACACGTGGGTGCCGGTACTTCCATCGTCAGCACTGTGGACTCGAGGAGATGCTGATGGCCTGGGGCTGGGCCGTGGCTTGGCCTCGCAGGGCCTCGCCCTCCTCGGCTCCGCAGGGGGAGAGCGTCCTGTGTCCACAGCGCTGCCCCCGTGCGGCCGGAGAGAGCTGGAGATGAGCCTCTGCCTTCCCTCTCCGGAGGCTGGAACAGAGGGGCCGGCTTAGCTGGCAATCTCTTTAAAATGTTATAAAAACAAGAATGGGAAGTCCAGGTACCTTTCCTAAGCTCTTTCTTTCAAGGAAGCGGCGTGCTACGGAAGTAGCCATTTCGCACAGACCAGGAAAGAAGTGCGAAACAGCTTTTTCTGACCAGTTCCGCTGCTCCTTCCTCACGGAGTGTCTTTGCTTGGTGTGCCCGGCTTCGCCATGTCTGCGTGGCACCTCAGACGGGGTGAGCTGGCACTCTGAGCCACGCTGAGTTGGCGACCAGCATCCAGTGAGGGTGGAATGGAACGCCTCGTTCCGGGGTCGCTCAGTCCCTGCGGACAGTGCAGCCCCCGTGGTTGCCCACATAGGTGGGTTTCGGCGAGACCCTGGCCCACGCTGCGCAGGGAGGCCTGGGCCTGGCTGGTGCAGGCTGCTGGGGGCCTCCTTGTCCACAGGCTGAAGGGTCCTGGGTTCCATTCCAGTCAAGAGCCCTGATCGGGGCATGTGCAGGAGGCAACCAATCAGTGTGTCTCTCTCACATAGGTGTCTCTTCCCTGTCTCTCTCTACGTCCCCCCCTCCCCTTCCATTCTCTAAAAACCAATGGGAAAATAAAATACCCTTGGGTGAGGTTGACAAAAGAAACATTAGGCCAGATGATGGGGACTCACAGGCTTGGTCATGATGCCTCCTTGGATCACACTCTTTCTAGAAGGCCCCATGTTCCAGAACCAGGAGGGGGGTCTGAAAAGGCTCCCCACCGTCTTCCAAAGACGCTGTGTGCAGCTCCTTGGACAGAAAGGTAGCTCCTCCAGCCCCCTCCGAACTCCCCCTGATGGGACACCTCAGGCCACAGTTATCGCTGATTAGGGCACCTCCATGGCCCCAGGGCGAGCTGGAAAGGTGACTTGGGAAGAGAAAGAGGGCAGAGAGGAAAGACCAGGAGGAGGAACAAACAGCAGGACTACTCAGAATAATGGGGTGGAGGATGCCCAGCTTCTGGCTTTGTGTGCGGCTGGGTGGGACCAACCCAAGCCACCTCCGCTTGCCTTCCCCGGGTGGGGGCCAGGGGCCAGGGGGCCGGAGGGGCGGGATGACGACGACCAGTGAGAGCTGGAGGGCGGGGAGCTTTCCCCGTGAGGTCACACCAAGTCCCTGATCTCCTGCTTAAATGCTTGCTCACTCAGGGCCAAGCTTTCCAAAGCTCACAGCTGGGCTGCATGGCCAGCAAGGCCTGTGCTGGAAGCTGATTCACAGCAGCAGATAGCGGCCCCCGGAGACGTCCCCGCACTGGGGGTGCGGACTCGGGACACAGAGACTTGGCCACATGAGGTGGGCACTATGGCACGGTCTCCTGTGGTTTGCAGCACATGCAGTGGAGCAGTGCAACCGAAGAGGAGACCCTGGTTTAGGGAAGGGGAACCCAGTGCCCCATCCTAACTGTCCCCCCCCTCCCCGCCCCCGCGCAGAAGCAGCGCCAGTCTCTGAGCTGCTCCCTGCACTTGGGCCGGCAGCCAGGTCAGACCCCCATGTCTATGGGACCCCATGCTGAGCTCAGGAGCCCTGAGACAGCAGTTAGCTCAGGGCCTGGTCCCTGGTTTCAGTAGAGAGGAAAGTTCTGGAGAGCAAGTCTGTAGGGTAGTTTCCCTTTTCACAGATGCTACAAGGAAAGAAAGTGCTATTTTATCATGTTTACACAATACTTAGCGAAAGCGTTTTGTATCTCCTGATCTCTCTTTACCTCTCACACCCAACCTGCCCCAAACCAAGTTCACCTCCTGCAGGCACCGCCCCGGAATCGGGCCACATGGTGGGTCTGGGCCTCGGGGTGGAGGGTGTGACTGAGTCTTGGAAAGGCTTCCAGGAGGGTTTCGGTGAGCCTCACCCTTGCAGGAGCCCTGGAATGCGAGGCACTTTCATCCAATCTCTTACTGACGTGAGCAATGGTTCTCGTTGAAATGCCAGCGCTTGCTGAACCCCGCCTCCCTGTTGGCATTGGATGTGCTCAGTCTCCTTGCCCAGCAGCCCCTCAGCGGCCAGGCCAGTGCGCGCACGGGGCTTGCTGATGGGAGAGGCCATGACCTTGCTCTCACCAGGGCCCCGTTTCCAGAGGCTCCACTGGAGCCAAACCTGCTGTGGGCCCGTCCTTCGGCGAATGTTCGGTGAACACCGGCCGAGAGGGGCGGTGCTGTGCCCAGGGGTGTGTGTGTCCCCAGCAGTCATTCCCCGAAGAGGAGGCGAGGCCCCGAAGGCAGCGACTTCACAGGGTGACGGCCGCCGAGGCGCTAAGGCCGCCGAGAAAGAACTTCGTGCCCCTTGACCCGGGTCAGCTCTGTTAACTGTTTGGCGTGTGTTTTGTTGGTCATTTCTTTAATTAAATTGGAGTAGCAATAAGTACTTAATTGGAATAATAACTACGACTATCATGACCTCACGGTACTGTTGGAGGAAGCATGGGGTGAGTCATTAAAGACCTGATAAGGATGGGAAGCTGGAGCCGTCCAGGAGAGTCCTGCCCAGCGACTGGGCGCCTGGAGATAACACGAAGGGCAGGAAGTGTGAGTCCGGCAGCTCAGGAACCTGCGCCCGAAGATAGGGGCTATATGAATGCGGCACGACGGGAAGACGGTTCCTCCCCTGGCATTGTGAGACCAGAAGCAGATCACGTATTAGCTGTCAAAGAGCTAAAACTCCAGCCCTGTGCCAGAGGTGTGGCACTTGCTGTGTTCTCTGAGCACGAAGGCAGAGCACCTCCGTGAGGGGAGTCAGGGCCTGCAGCTGAGCTGGAGCCGGGAGTGGGGTGGGGGGTGGGGGGCAGCCCTGCAGCTGAGCCGGGGGGGGGGGGGGGCCTGCAGCTGCAGTGCTCACAGGCTGGGAGCTCAGTTATGGAAGCTCACAGGTTTATACCCAATGACAGATCCCAAGTAAAAATGAAGTCACCCGACAGCTGCCACCCTCACTTTTCTCTAAGAAGGGAGAGAACTGGGGGTCGGGGTAAAGGAAGAAGCCTGGAGTGTGTGTGTGTGTGTGTGTGTGTGTGTGTGTAATTTTTCCTTTTCCCTTGGTGCTTTCATGTAGTGTGAAATGTTTACTGGGATGATATAGTTCTTTGTAAAAAACCTGGTATACATTAAGCCATTTCCCTACATGATGCAGATTAAAATGTCTGTATCCTCTGGCCCCTGCTTAATGCTAATCTGCACCCCCCGTGGCTTGCTGGCTTGTTTGTCCTTTTCTCCACTGCCATGGACACAAGCACTCACGTCACTCTCCTCCCACGAAAGCCCATGTTTTCTGTAGAATTCCTGTGCACGGCTGCATGCCAGCAACCCTCCTGCCACCCCTCCAGCGTGCTGCCCCTCACAGGGTTAAAAAGGAAGAAGTTCTAAAACAGACTTCAGCGTGGAAAGCAAGAAACAGATCGGGAATTGTCAGCACTTTGTTTACTGACTAAAGAGTAGATACCATCTACAATCATCAATTCATATATGAAAAGATCCATAAAAAAAAGGAAGGACATATTATTACCACACTTTTGGATTTCATGGAATACATTGAAGTTGGAAGTTGAAGAAAAAAGTTTGGAAATCAACGTAATTTTGCCAGGGAATCCTATATATTATAATAAATGGCTAATATGCAAATAGTCCTAATGGCAGAACGATCAGTTGTTATGGCGCATACTGACCACCAGGGGGCAGACGCTCAAGGCAGAAGCTGCCCCCTGATGGTCAGTGCACTCCCACAGGGGGAGCACCACTCAGCCAGAAGCCCTGAGCCAGGCTCACTGCTGGCGAGTGCAATAAGCCAGCAGTAGGACATCTCCGAACTGTGAGAGGGTGCAGGCCGGGCTGAGGGCCCTCACCAGCCCCAGTGCATGATTCCTGTGCACCGGGGGCCTCTAGTCATAGTATAAACCCCCCTCAGGAAGAGTAAGGAGCTTCCACTATCACATCATAAAACAAAGCATATTTCAATATTCAAAAAAGAACATAAGCTCAGACTAAAAGAACATCTTTCAGGTTGGTATAGATTTATAAAAGCATATTTAGATTTATGGTAAATCTACTGTCTTAGCTTGTTTTATCATGTTTGGTTTCAGTCCAGAAAAATAAAATTTATCATCAAATTCAGGAGAGTGGGAAGAGGGGCTTTCAGAAAAATTAATAAAGTTTTATTTCTTAAGCTAGGAGCAGAGCATGGGTGCGACTGTTCATAGCACTTGATTTATCTTAGAGTGTAAATAATTAAAAAAATTATATATATATATATATATATATATATATATATATATATATATATATATATATTTTTTATAGAGAGTGGAGGTGGGGGGAGAGAGAGAGGTAGGGAGGGAGAGAGAGCAAGGGACATCGACTTGTTCCATCTATTTATGCCTTCTTTGGTTGATTCTTGTATATGTCCTGACAGGGGATCAAACCAAAATCCTTGTGTATTGGGATGACACTCTAACCAACTGAAATACCCGGCCAGGGTGATGTGAATAACTAATGGGAAAAAATGGGAAAAAATACCGCCTCCTACATCATTGATGTAGTGAATGCACCCACTTCAGGAGGAAATAACGGAGCCCCACCCGTGACTGCGACGGCCCCCGCCGAGCGGGCAGGCCAGCGCGCACCGTTCTCGGCAGTCCCCGGCCTGCAGGCTGAGTCCAGGTTTCCCCGCGTTAAGCCCATTCTCGCAGTGAACACTGGCTTGCATTTTGTGTTCCGGTCAAATTAAAGGCGTGACATTATATACATTCAATTATTTCCACAGTCTCCAGGAAACACACAGAAAATGTAATAATAAATGCTTGTCATATTTCAAATATAAGAAGTCCTAAAGTACGTTAAATCAGAAACAGGTTTAGGGATTAAAACGCACCACCTATGTTTTTCTCGCTTTAAATTGGTCCAAGGGCTTGGAGCAGGAAAGGGAGGTGATTCTGTCCTTCCTTTTCAAAGAAAACCGTCCCACCCAGGCCTGAGGGAACGGCCAGACGAGTAATGTTCCACTCAGCCCTGTTTCCGTAGGTGGCTTCTTTTTAACCCTCAGCCTCTGGTCACCAGCATTTGTCCGGTTTTGAAGGGAAGGGGGTGCTGGGTGTGTCTGCGGATACTTACCTCACGGCAAAGTGCAAAATGGCTGGGCCTGGTTTCTTGGGCAAGTCATGGTCAAGGACCCGGTGATCTAACTGCAGCCAGTTCTGCTGACCGCTGTGAGGGAAGGCAAAGGCAGAGGGTTAGACAGGAAGCCAGAGCCAGGCTCAGAACCCACTGCCGGCAACGCCGCGAGAGGCCGCTGCTCCCAGACACGCACGGCGGGGATCACCCTGGTGCACCAGCAACGAGGGCTTTTAGCGATTTCCCGGGGAGAGAAGCCCTGCCCGCGTCAGCATCTCCATCCCGGGAGCTCGGCACTCCCTGAGCGCTGTTTGTAACGGTGACAAGTGGATCACAGTCTGCACATACAGTCCCTCCCTGAGCATTGTGTGTAATGGTGACAAGTGGATCACAGTCTGCACATACAGTCCCTCCCTGAGCATTGTGTGTAACAGTGACAAGTGGAACACGGTCTGTACATACAGTCCCTCCCTGAGCATTGTGTGTAACGGTGACAAGTGGAACATGGTCTGCACATACACTCACTCCCTGAGCGTTGTGTGTAGTGTGTAACAGTGACAAGTGGAACACGGTCTGCACATACAGCCACTCCCTGTAGTGTTGTTTGTAACGGTGACAAAACTCGAAACAACCGGAATGCCTATCAGGATATTGCTTCACAAATAAACTTCACCTGAGGGATAAAATACAATGCAGCCATATAAAAGATTGATACCATCTTTACAAACTCATTTTGAACAATATCCAAGATATGGTTTTAAATGGAAAGGCGGTGCATACAGTGAGCACAGTAAGTCACCATTTTTAAAATTAAAGCCCAATATCCAGATAGGGTGCACGAGTATATCCTCTGAGAAGGCAAGCAAGAAATAGCACCAGGTGACATTAAGTGTATTAATCTTTAAATTCTTAATAAATATAAAATCTGAAATATTTTAGATAGTCATGAAGGGGAAAACTTGATCATTTAATGAAATCAGGCAGACAACTAAACTACCTTTCTTTAAAATTTTTTAAAAATTTATTTTTAGAGAGAGAGGAAAGGAGCAGGAGAGAGGAAACATAGATGTGAGAGTGAACATCGATTGGCTGCCTCCTGCATGTGCCCCAACCAGGGACTGAGCCTACAGCCTGGGCATGTGCCCAGATGGGGAACTGAAACACCACCTTTTGGTGCATGGAGATGGCACCTTACCCACTGAGCCACACCAGCCGGGGCTACTGTCACTTTTTACATCTACAGGGTGACTACCCTCTGGGTGCTGCTTCTATATGAAAGTCTAAATTGAGCCTTCTAATATTTAAGCAGATGTAGGGTGGGCAGAAGGTTTATAGTGTTCGCATGGAAATCCTATCTAATGAAAGAGTAATATGCAAATGGACCATCACTCCAACACACAAGATGGCTGCCCTCATGTGGACATAAGATAGCCACCACAAGATGGCCAGTAGGGGAAGGCAGTTGGGAGGGACCAGGACTGCAAGGGAAGAGCAGTTGGAGGAGACAAGGCCAGCAGAGGAGAGCAGTTGGGGGGAACCAGGCCTTCAGGGGAGGGCAGTTAGGGGTGACCAGGTCTGCAGGGGAGGTCAGTTATGGGGTGATCAGGTTGGCAGGCAGAAGCAGTTAGGGGCAACCAGGCAGGCAGGTAGTCAGGCGGTTGGGAGCCAGCAGTCCTGGATTGTGAGAGGGCAGTCAGACATCCCTTGAGGGGTCCCAGATTGGAGAGGGTGCAGGCTGGGCTGAGGGACACCCCTTCCCCCGTGCACGAATTTCATGCACCAGGCCTCTAGTCTATATAATAAAAGCCTAAGAGAGTTACAACGGAACTAGAACAACTGGTTGCTGTGACATGCACTAACCACCAGGGGGCAGACACTCAATGCAGGAACTGCCTCCAGCCTGCAGGCCCTAATCGCCAATGTGGCCTGCCAGACAACCTTCCAGCCCGCTCCCCGCTCCTCCCCGCCGGTCCTCCGGCCAGCAGGCCTAAATCGCCTGATCAGGGCCAGACCCCCAGGCTGGGACAGGGAACTGGGGGTGGGTGGTGGCGGATTTCAGCCCCTTTCCCAGGGGGTGCCAAGGGCAGGCTCCCTCCTTGGGGCCAGCAGCCAACTTCCTGGGTACCTCCCCCCATTCTTCCCCCTGGCCAGCAGGCCCCAATCGGCCTGCCACCTGCCCACCATGGTGGTGGTTGGCCCCTCCCCCCCTGCCAGCAGTTCCTGATCCTCAATCGGGCCGGGCCCGGGCTTGGATGAGGAGCTGGGGATGGGTGATGGCGGATGCGGGTGCGGGGAGGAGGAGGTGAGGAACCACGCTGTGGCAATGCTCGGGGGGCAAGGGAAGGAGGATGCAGGAAACCTAATCAGCCCTGATCACCAGCCAGGCCTAAGGACCTACCAGTGCACGAATTTCATGCACCGGGCCTCTAGTAATACAACAAATACTAAATAATAAACAAGAGCAAACCTTGTGTTTCACGTACTCATAATTGTACATCTACTTTCCCCCGACCTTTGAGAATATTTGTTTATTTACTCAAGGGCCTCACCACGTTTATGGGTATAAATAGCTCTTCCCGAGCTTTGCCCTCCGAGCAAGGCAAGGTCTGCCACCCTGGCTCAGGACCGCCTCTGCAGCTTTCTCCAGCTGTCTGACCTGACGCTCTGCTTTGGGCTGTGAATCCCAAGAGGGCACAGACTCTGTGTTGCTTGGTGACACCAAATTTAAGGCTGTGTGTCGCAGAAGGTTGCCCAGGACCAAACCAGAGAGGGTGGGACCTGCATCACCACCATTTGTCCACCATCCAGAACTGAAATATCATGGCTGACATGTACACATAAGGAACTGTTTGACATAGAAATTGAGTCTCAAAAGAACTGTTGGCCCAGAGAGAAACTCACTACAGACTGATTCATTTGCCTCTCAGCATAACCATTATTGTTTGTCTCATTTTTGGTTCTTATAAGTGTATTTCTTGTATCACATGAGCTCACTCATCTAGGAAAAATAATGAGCAATATAAACTGATGAACAAAAATAGACCCAGAGACAGAGAAGCATCGATCAGACTGTCAGACCTCAGAGGGAAGGTAGGGGATGGAGGGGATAGGGGAAGAGATCAACCAAAGGACTTGTGTGCATGCATATGGGCCTAGCCAGTGACCATGGACAACAAGGGCATATGTGGGGAAGGGTTTGGGGTGGGATGAGGACAATTATGTGATACCATAATCAATAAAGAAATAAAAAAAAGAGTGTGCTGATAGTGATAGGTGTCAAATGATAACACAATCAAATCTATGAAGGGCCAGAAGACATTGCCCAACCTATTCTGGTATTGAGTAAACAATTAAAAAAAAATCAGAAATCCTAAGCTATATTTATTATAAATAGAGAGGAAAAATGGACATAAATAATATTACTATTAATAAAAATATCAATAGTTCCTCTTCATTGGGTAGCTGCTCTGTGCCAGCCAGGCAGGAACTCGGTGTGACTGGATGTCCTAATTAACAGCAACTCGGCAAGGAAAGTGGCAGAGCTGGGATTTCACCCCAGGACTTTCCACACAGGGAAGATGAGTCAGCTTTATAATAACTTTCGGCTTGATCACTTACTAGTTTTAACAGTGAAGCAAATATTTTTGTTTCGATAATTATAAAATAAGGCTTCTGATAACTGTTCCTAGCTTTCCTTGGATGAATATTATGAAGATAAATAAACTGATATAAGTGAGCAAGGGAAGGGCTTTAGAAGTACTAGTGTTTTATGTAAAGATGATACAAAGATAGAGGACTGGCAGTTAAGGGTTTCTTACCCTGTATTTTATCACGTTTAGGATGGCACTAAATTAAATATGTATCCCAATTTCAGAGGTGTTCAAATGTGCTATAAAATAAATAAAACATTGTATAGCATCAGATCTCAAAAGTTTTCTTGTGAAAAGGAGACTCCTTTTGAATTGTCTTTTTTGCTTTTACATAGGAAAGATGTGGCATCATTAAAAAGCATAATGCAGTCCTGGCGGGTGTTTCTATGTGGAGCATCAGCCCTCATGGCAGAGAGTCGCAGGTTTGATCCCCAATCAAGAGCATGCAGCTTTGATCCCTGGTCCAATGCGGCATGTGCAGGAGGCAGCCAGTCGATGTGTTTCTCTCACATCTCTCTCTCTCTCTCTGTCTCTCTCTCCCTTCCTCTCTCTCTCCCTCCCTCTCTCTCTCTCTCCCTCTCTCTCTCCCTCTCTCTCTCCCTCTCTCTCTCTCCCCCTCCCTCTCTCTCTCCCCCCCTCCCCTTCCTTCCACTCTCTCTAAAAATATCAATGAAAAAAATCCTCCAGTGAGGATGAACAAACAAAAAAAGCACAATGTATATTTATATGAAATTGCATGAAATGATGTCCAAGAATGAATAACTCAATTATATTAACCACAGAAGCACACTCAAAACACTATTATATATGGATGAAACTTCTTGGATATAATTTTGGAAAGATATAAAACACATTGTTACAATCAAAAGAGATTGGCTTCAACTATGATATTAAATGTTTTAATAAGAAGATATCCATGTAAATTTAATATAAGATAATTTTCTAAAGGATAAATTGAAAATTAGATTTTAAAAATCCATCCATAATCTCACCAACAGGATAAACTCAGAATAGGAAGTGAACTTTAGCCCCAGCTGGTTTGGCTCAGTGGATAGAGTGATGGCCTGCGGACTGAAGGGTCTTGGGTTTGATTCCAGTCAAAGGCACAGGCCTGGGTTGCAGGCTTGATCCCCAGTAGGGGGCTAGCAGGAGGCAACCTATTGATGATTCTCTGTCATCACGGATGTTTCCATCTCTATCTCCCTCTCCCTTCCTCTCTGATATCAATATAAATACATTTTAAAAAGTGAACTTTACACATCACCCTTTCACTGAGATATGCAAAGCTAACGTGCTACTTTATAGTCTTGGAGGCTAAGGAGAGACCTCAAAGCTCGTAACCCGCTTTTCTCAAGTTCCATCAGCCAATAGCAGAGGTAGCAGGTGAGGCCACTGACTCAAAGAGACATCTGGTCTGCACGCCCGGCACCCGCAGGCCCCAGAGCCGTTCCCTTTGGCCAGACCTGCACCGCCACAGGCCTGCCAGCTGGATGACGACCAGAAGTCAAAGCTGCGCTGTAACCCCGTGTGCTATGTCTGCATAAGGAAAGCTTATACCAAAAGTCCTTTCCCAACAGGGAGATCCATGCATCCGGTTAGGAAGTCAGAGCCTGTGAACGAGGGAGCTGTCAGGAAGGCCGCGGCTGCCCCCTGGCGGCCACAGGCTCGCCCTGCACACGCCCCGCCGGGCAGGACGAGGTCTCAGGAGCCCCTGCCGCCTTCTGGCCTCCCGGGTATCAAGCCTGGAGGTGGGAGGTGGGAGGTGGGAGGTGGGGGGATATCAAGCCGGAGGTGGGAGGGGGAGTGGGATGGATGCCCCCTCACTGCTGTGGTCCCGGGGCTGCCAGTTCCAGTCTTCCCGCTCGGGGGAGGCCTGGGCACCAGCTGGTCTGCTGACCAGCGCCCTCTGCTGGCCTCCGGGAAGCCCGCCCCCCTGGGCGCTGCGCCCCGCCTCTGGCGTCAGAGGCCGTGCTCCCGCCTGGGAGGCTCCCCTGCGGCCGAAGGTGGGCGGGAAGGAGGCGGAAAACACTTTCCCAAAATACCCACCAGACAAAAAGGACTGGGCCTGTGACCCAGACGTCCCAGGGAGGCACCCTCAGACAGAGCAGTTCTCCAGACCCGTCCCCAAAGGCAGAGGGCCAATGCCCTCCCTGCACAGACAGCCTGCCACTCCTCTCCCCACCCTCCTTCTCGCCCTTCTCCCGAAAATAGACAGCCAGGCGGCGCCTTCCCGCGGCCATCCTCAGGGGCCTTTCCCACAGGCATCCTTCAGGGCCTTCCCCACGGCCATCCTCAGGCGCCTTCCCCACGGGCATCCTTCAAAGCAGACGCAAGGAGCCAGGGGGGCACTTGCCACTTCCCCACCCCATGGCTGCTCTCCCCAGAGGGTTAGGCAGAAAGTCTGGGAGGGAGCAGCAGGGCCTGTCACTAGAGGAAGTTATCCATCCATCCATCCATCCATCCATCCATCCATCCATCCATCCCTTTGCTTTCAGAAGGAGCACCTGACCTGCCGCTGTCTGCTCATCCCTCCTGGGCTCCTAGCTTTCCCAGGAGGTCCCTTGTGGCCATGGCCTGCTTTTCGGGCCACCAGGGCGTGCAGCCTGGGGAGCATGCAACCCCATCACTCCCCTACTCAACATCCTCCCGTGGCCGAGGGGTCCCTCTCCCACCACCTGCCTCATGATCGCAGGGCTCCCCATGTCTGTCTCTCCCCGGGGAAACGCACCATGTTCAGCACGGCCCACGGAATGCCTCTGCCCTGGACTGTCCTCTCCTGTGCCCTCTGAAGTCCACCTGTCCTACTAGGGCTGATGTCTGTTGTCCGGCCACGGAACCCCACCCAGTCTCCTCCAGCCTCCTCTGAACACCTGTCTGCTCCCACGCATTCCCACTGACTCAACAGGTGACATAAGACCAGTGCCCTGGTGTATGTCCCTCACAGTCCTATGGTACACGCACTATTATTACGCTCATTGTACAGATGAGAAAACCGGAGTGTCAGAGATGTGAAGTCACTGGTCCAATATTGCCAGGAGCTAATTCCAGCACATCAAAAGGTTGATAAAACAAGGGCTGAACCACATATGTAATCACCTGTTGGAGTGGCTAAAGGGCACTTCCCCCAAACCTGAATAGGATGATTGCTTGTTGTCAGACAGCTCAGGACATCTCAATCTCCATGTTTTTGCCTTCTGTTGGCCAAACACCTGAACAACTGTAGGCTATTGCCCAATATGACAATGCTTCTGCACCCTACTCTTTGAAGTGTATTATCTCCATCTTGCCTTAGGACAAATTGTGTTAATAAAAAGCAAGGGTCCTGAGTCAAGAGAGAACTTTAGCTCCTTTAGCTGAAGCTCCTCTGACCCCCAATGCCTTTCAAAATTCAAAACTATCTTTCATCTCTGGACTCCTACTTGATCTACACACAGCCTTTCTCCAGATTGCTGAACCCTTCTTAATGCTGGGACAAGAACCCCAGCACAAGATCACACAGCTCCCAGGATTCTATGATATCTACCCCTTGCCTTCCCCCCAGTATAATATCTCGTCCCACTTTGCCTCTTACTCTCTATTGTCTAGCCACACTGGCTCTTCCCCTTTCTCAACAACAACAGCAACAACAACAACAACAACAACAGCAACAACAGAAGGTGCCTGGAGCACCTCTAAGTGGACAGAACTGGTTCTTGCTCTTCATTGAATGCCCCTCCCCAGAAGCACCCAGCTCACCCTGCCGGGAACGGCACCCAGCTTTTCTGGATCACAGCCTTATTTTATGTTCTTCAAGCCTGTCATTCTGGTGTTTCCATGTATGGCTTGTTTATTTGTGCTGCTAGTCTATGTCATGCCAGTATAAGCTGCAGGGAAGCCAGAACCCCGTCTGTGTTGTTCACAGCTGACTTCCCAGGACTTAGAACAATGCCTGGCACTTAGTGGGCACTCAAGAAAGATTTTTAAATGAAAAAAATACTCCCATATTTATTGAGCTTTTAGCTTCTACTTTATGTGACCTCTAAATTATAGTGCTTATGACCTCTAAATTATAGTAAAGATTGCACCACATAACTTAGCCATTAAGTATTTATAGATTTATGTCTTGTGCTACTAGCTATTATTTCATTCACATTCAGCTTCAATGTGTGTGGGCGCATGTATGCACAGGTGTGTGTGTGTGTGTGTGTGTATGTGAGTGTGATCACTGATCCACATGAACTGGCCCTGGCTTTCTGGCTGGAGCATGGGTCAGTGGACATCTGCACTTCCTAGCTCATCCAGCAGAGAATGTTGAGTCAGAGGAGGGAGGTGCTGTGAGGTGAGAGCACCTTTTTCTGCTTTGTTGAACCCTCCTCAGAAAATATCCCGAATCAAGGTTTCCAGGTTTTGCCATGTCTCCTGGTAGCTCAGCCGCTGGGGTTTCTCCAGCCCAAGATCCGAGCCCAGGGGTATTTCCAGGAGGTCACAGGCCCTCAGCCCTCTAGGCAGGACATAACCGGAAGTCACAGTGTGCAAGCAAATGACCCCTCTGGGAACCCCCTCTGCCTGGTTACGCCGGAGTGCTGAGAGCATGTGCTCTGGGAGATTTGCTGTGGTGGCAACATGGTTTGTCTGGAACACATTTTCTTGAATTTTAATATGTGAAGAGATCTTTGGAAATTATCCTCAGAAAGGGGGAGAATTCCTCTGCTAACGTAGCAGGCTGCATATCACACAGGCGAATTGGAATATAGGCGAACTGGGCTGCCATAAAGCAGGCAGATATGTACTCACACAGAATAATGTCGATAACTCAAAACACATTTGCTTACAAGGAGTTTTAAACTCATTGTTATAAGCCTGCCTCACTTCAGAGAAGATCTAAATTGCTGACAAATACATACAATCTCCAAGTTAGCAAAAAAATGGAAGTAAATGGAAAGAAAAGATGGTGAGGATGTAACATAAAAGGGGCTCAGTGGAAGTTAAGAAGTCCCCTCCACATTAAATTATATACATGTCTTATGGGTGGGCCATAAATTGCCTACAAACTTCCTTGCCACCAACACCAAAACATTATTCAGTTCCAAGATGTGAATGAATGACCATCTAGCATTTCTCTCTCTGCTACATGAGCTCATTAAGCAAGCACAGTGCATTCAGAGAAGAATAACAAACTAATTACAACAAATTTCTAAAAGAGGACAATATTTTGAGTTCTTAAGGTCAATATTCCTTTTCTTCTCCTTCTACAATAGTCCTAGGAGAAAAATCTTGCCTTAAAAAAAGTTAAGTAGCCCTAGCAAGTTTGGCTCAGTGGATAAAGCATTGGCCTGTGGACCGAAGGGTCCCAGGTTCAATTCCGGTCAAGAGAACATGCCTGGGTTGTGGGCTCGATCCCCCGGGGTGAGGGGAGGAAGGGTAAAGGGAGGGGGAGGGGAGGGTGCAGGCGGCAGTCGATAAATGATTCGCTCTCATCATTGGTGTTTCTATCTCTCCCTCTCTACAATCAATAAAAATATATTAAAAAAAACCCCACAAACCTTTAAGTAGGACATAGTCTAATGATTGGAGCATTACCCCCACCCCGTGTTTTTTTTTATTTTCTAATTATGGATGACAGCAGGGAGGTGGCCCAGACAAAAGGTGAAGAGATAGAAACACTTACATGTCATCTGTAAACGTGATTCCAAAGTACTCCTTCTCCTTCAGGTTGAAATGCGAAGCCACGAGGTCCAGCAGCTCCCGCGCTAGCAGCTTGGGCTGTGGGTACGGAACGCCGGTTAGAACATGCTTGCCTCTCTCAGTGCTCCCACCCCTCTGCCCAATAGTGTGTTCGCTCTCAAATATCTGCTTCTCCCCAGCCGGGCGGCCCGCTCAGACTCCTGCAGACTATCCTCTGAGATGAAGGAGAGGAGTGGGGAGAGGAACCTCAGTGAGACCATCCTTCTCAGACATTTGCAGTTCCTTACTTCTTCCCTCTCGGCAGGGGTGGGGACCTTTTTTTAATTTTCTATTTTTTATCATGCCAAGCCGATTTGGACATTCGTGACATCATTCGCGGGCCATACAAATCATCAGCTCAAAAAGTAGCCTGCTCTATTCGGTCAAACATTTAATTAACTCACCCCTAATGCCTGGCAGGACCAGACCAAAGGATTTCATGGGCCTCAGACGTCGCTGCTCTAAGGTAAGACTGTGTTTACTAAAGCCCGGGTGTTTTTGAAAAACACTCTTTCATGTGTAGTTTGGTGCTAGTGACCAAGACAAAGAGTATGAACCCCTCACCATCTGCATGTAGGAATAACTGGGCTTGGTGGACTAGTTGAAAAGGATCAAGACCCAGGCTGTAGGGGCATCAGAGATCGAATTAAAAAGAACAATAACAGCAATAAAAATCATTCACTGTGCCCAGCTCCTTATATTTATTACCGCATTCCGTCCTTGCAAGCGGCCATGAGGTATGGGTTCTTAGTTTGCACTCTCTGGACGGGTCAGCCAAGGCCAGGAGAAGTCAAGCCCTTGTCTGGTATTACAGTCAGGAACCCCGTTCTGCCCGCTTTAAGGCCTAAGCGTCTCCTTTCTCTAAGGGAGCACTGTGCCCATTGTACGGTGGGCTTCACTCTGCTTACTGAGCATCTAGTTAGAGGAAGGAGCAAACGGTGCGCTCTTAGGAAGCACTGGACTTGGTGGGAAGGGGCACGGTTTGGAATTAGCCAGAATGGCTGTGACTGTGGCCGCTGGATTTGCAGAGTTGGAGAGGAAAAGGGGTTTTCAGGAGGGTTTGCTAGGTGTATCTGCCTGAACTTTGAGTCAGTTTAGGATTTGTCATGATGGTTTGAGGGTTGAATGTTTGCTTTGGGGAATAAAGAATAGTTATGAATAGAGAGGGAGAAAGAAAGAAAGGAAGGAAGGAAGGAAGGAAGGAAGGAAGGAAGGAAGGAAGGAAGGAAGGAAGGAAGGAAGGAAAGAAGGAAGAAAGAAAGAAAGGATGAAAGAAAGAAGAGAGTAGCTCTAACTGGTTTGGCTCAGTGGATAGAGCATTGTCCTGCAGACTGAAAGGTCCCAGGTTCAATTTCAGTCAAGGGCACAGGCCCAGGTTGTGCTCTGGATCCCCAGTAGGGGGCATGCAGGAAACAGCCAATCAATGATTCTCATCATTGATATTTCTATCTCTCTCTCCCTCGCCCTTGCTCTCTGAAATCAATACAAAAATATTTATTTAAAAAAAGGAAGAAAAGCAGAGAAAAGAAAAGAAGAGAAAAACAGGCAGAAGTCTAGATTACAATGTCTCCTCTGGTGAGACTATTGTGGGCTGTACTATTTCCATTCTAACTGAAGCCTGTGCCTGGCGGCTGGGGACAGGCCCAGAGGGAGAGACATGGAGGCGTGGTCAGAGGCAGGCATTCTGGCCAGAGCTGTGGGTGTGGCTGTCAGCGGGGACTGCCAGCATTGTTAAGACTCTTGGTCCGAAGTGTTGGGTAGATAAAGAGAGAAGCACCCACCATTAATATGTCACCACTTACTAAAGCCCACATATTTCACAAAGAGATTTCATTCTCATCTATGATTTAGGTCGATTTTAACCGTGATTCTGTGAGGAAGCCTGGCAACCTTAACACCAGTTCACAGTTTATGAAGCGGGTATTTACCCTGGACAAGGCCATGTGCCAGGAAAGCAGCAGGATGCATAACCCTTTTCCAGGAGAAGCATTATGTGATCCAATTTACCAGCAAGAGATTCAGAGAAGCAAAGTCACTCGCCCAGCTCCACAGCTACTGAGCGTTAGGGCTGCGACTGGAACCCGCGAATCTGAATATATGTCACCAACGTGCAGTCACATACAGACCAGGCCTACTGGCTTCAAAGCTCCTTCTCCACCCCTGCGCCACGGGCTGTGAGCGCAGACGCGCAGCCAGCATGGCACGGCCACGCGCTCCTGTGGCCCGGGGAACACCCACCTGCACCAGCAGTTCCAGCCGGCGGCCGTCCAGGAGGTGCACCTGGCAGTGCCTGCCCTCCGTCATCTGTGGGGAGACAGCAGAGCGGTCAGTGGGGCTGGCGGGAAAGCCCTGAGCTCGAGTCATCACTGACTTCACACGTGATGTGCTCAGCCCAACATGGCTTCACCTCAGGAAAACACAGGCGTGGTCACACACAGATTCATTACATGGCATCAGCACTTGTTAAAATTTAAATGTTTTTAGCTCTTTGACTTAAAAGAAGAAAAGAATGAAAAACAGAGATGACTCAATATACTAAAAAGATAATACCTATATGTGCATACACGATTTTATTATGAAAAGTGGGTTTCCTTCCCAGAGGAAACTAGTGCTGTATTTTTATTTAAACCAGTATTTTATTTTTCAAATGAAAATGGCTTTACTCATTGGTGTGCTTTAATATATATAATACATGCATAGTTATAAGAAGAAAAACATGATTCTAAAGTTCAAATGGAAACTTTCCATTTTATAAGTCTACTGCTGCTATAATTAAGAACAGGTAAGATACACAGTTCAGAACTGTTTGATGTATAAGTATCCAATTATATTTAATTTTTATCATTTGTACTTTCAATTTGGGGAAATCCTCTCTGTGAAATAGTCAAGCAATGCACAGAGTGCAAAGATTCCCCTTGACTCGCTCCCGCTTCCCGTCACCGGACCTGCCAGCTCGAGGAGGATCCTCACAGGCCGCTGTACATGGACTTTCAGAACACCGGGGTACATATCGATATTTTAAAAAATTATATGAAATGTTTTTCTCTAGTATTACATATGGCATATTATTACATATGACATACTATTCTGAAAATAAAGCAAATACTCAAAGTATTTGTGTTTGTATGTGTGTAGCCATCCAGAAATTTTATACAAATAGATATCTGTAGTTGTGTGGGTCTGTGGTGTGTGTGTGTGTGTGTGTATTTTCCCATTTTCAATTCAAACGCCATTTCTTGAAGATCTTTCCACTGTCAACACACATATCCCAGGCTCATTCTTTTTAAAGGTCCTATAGTATCAGGTATCGTGTGCACATACAGTAATTCCTGCTGGGAATCATGCTGTTCCCACATTTCATGGTAACAAGATGTACAGTGGACTCGGCACACCCAGCTTTGCCCACGGGTGTGTGATTGCTGGACCACTCCGGAAGAGCATGGCCAGCATTTTGTACACAGCCTAAGGTACGCATAACCTGGCTTAAAAGAAACCAGCTCCCATCCCTGAGCACCAGCTGTGTCCACAGCGATCCTGGCGGTTCATGTCCCCTCTGAGCTGCAGCAGTTACCCCTGGGATTGGTGCTTTTCATCCCATTTCACACAGGAGGACACGTGTGGGATAAGCAAGCTGTCTCCGATGTGAACGGTGCAATGGCTGCACTTGCGTTTTTGATTGAGCTCCGCCCTGAGAGGGAAAGTAGCTCAGCTGCAGACGGTGGCACCATGGGGATGGGGCCCGCAGCAGCGACTGAAGGCGTGCTGGGAGGTGACCGCGCCGGCCCTGACTATGTGCTGAACTCTGCAAAGCCAAGGCCAGCACACACGTCTGGCGGCAAGGGGAAAGGGAACAAACCTTGGTCCCAGCCACTAAGCTGTGCACTGCCTATACATCACCTCATAAAGCTGCACAAAGCCTGTGCCGTGGCAACATCCCATTTTAAGGGAACTGAGGTTAAGGGAATTTATTCAAAGTTACCTAGACAAGGAAAGAACCAAGCCAAGATTTACATCTTGGATCACATGATCTCACACAGCTAGAGGAAATAATGAACAACATAAACTGATGAACAAAAACAGACTCAGAGAAAGAGAAGCAGCGATCAGATTCTCAAACCTCAGAGGGAAAGTAAGGGAGAGTGGGGGTAAGGGGGAGAGATCAACCAAAGGACTTGTGTGCATACATATGGGCCTAGCCAGTGGCCATGGACAACAGGGGATGGGGGCATATGTAGGGAGGGGTTTGGGATGGGAATGGGGGGGATAAGGACAATTATGTGAGACCATAATCAATAAAATAAAAAAATAAAGTCATCTTCTTTTCTACTTTAGCTTGGGAGCAAATAAATAAATGTGTCAGTCACTTTATTTCTTTTGTAAAACCCACATAAGGAAACCAAACTCATGACCTATAGAAAGATGTAATGAAATAAAACTAAAAAAATCAACTCACACAGTATGAATCCATTAAGAAATATGTCAAAATATTTCACACTGCTTTGTTGTTGCATAATCCAAACGAATTTATGCCCTAATTTTACAAAAACATCCTTTTCCTTTCCACTGTGCTTTGGACCTCCCTCAGGCTGGTCACCGCCTTTTTGCCAACACATACACTTACCCTACAGAATTGAATGGTGAATGTTTTGTCACGTCTGCCCAGCTGAGGACAAACATGGGCGGTGGTGTCCGTATCTGTACAGCTTGGTCCTGCCCTTTGGCCTCAGTTGATTGGAGCAGGGACGCACACCTGACCCAAGCTGGACCAATCAGAGCCTCAGCCCAGGGAACCTGGAATGAAGTCTGAGTAGGTGACAATGTGGCTGCCTGTGTGGAGGGGTGGAGAGCAGAGGACAAGCAGTTCCTCAGGGGCAGGAGAAGCCACTCAGCTGGAGAGGCCAGCGGGGGACTGCCGTCTGCATCCCTGGCCCTCCCCACACTCTGGTCCCTTCCACTGGCCCGGGGAGATGTCCTGGGCTCCATGAAACACCCTGTATTCCTGCCATAAGCCCACTCTTCCTCGCTCTTACGCTGACTGGAGTTGGATTCTGCTTATTGCAACTAAAAGCCTCTTTATAAGACACCACAGGTGCCTACACCTAAACCAAGGCAGAGGTTTCCGAAGGATGGACTCCCCAATGACGTCATTAAAGTTGTCAACTCACAATGACTGAAGCTCCCGCCAAGGGCAGTACAACGGCCAAGAGAAAGGCTGACATCTTGGGGGAGAGGTTCTGATCAAACATCTCGCTGTGTGACCTGACAAGACACACAGGCAGGAGAAGGCGGTGCAGGTGATGGGGAGGAAATTGCTAGTTCTACCCCCGTGGCACGTCCGTCTGCACCTGTGAGCAGTGTCCCCAGCCCTTTCCTCTGCGGAGGTCAGAGGCCGATGCCATCGCCCGCAGCAGGAAGGCCCGCCCTTGTCACTCAGACTGCAGGTGGGAAGGCGGTGGGTGCGTTTTGTTCATCAGGACAACGCTTATAAATAAGTTATGATTGACAATACTAGAAATCGGGAGATGCCACGTAATAAAGGTCCAGATGGTAAGATCTGGAAAGACGGCTGGATTTCCTCTGGCAACATCTGGCCAGGGTGGGGCGGAGTGGCTCCTCCAGATGAGGCCTGCGGCCCTGGCTCACTCAGCCTGTTGCCTGCAGGTTCCCAGGTGTGAACAAGCACATCTGGTTCACGTTCACGTGGCACTAGGGAAGAGACAGCCAACGTCACAGAGCTGTGTGCCCGGAGAAGTGCTTGGCGCTTGGCCCTCACCCCGTGTAGCCTTTCGGCCTCTACAGGAGCCGTGAAGGGGACAGCGCCTGTGAATGACGAGGGAACTGGGGCCTGAGAAATCATGTGACCTGCACTGGAGCTCTAAGCCAGCCTGGACTCCACATGGCACTCCCCCCCTCAGGTGCTGTGTTACGGAGACGCCTTTCCTTTCTGAGCCACAGAAGCAGGCCCTGCTCGCTTTCCCTCTGCTGCCCTGAGAGCGAGATGAGCCGCTTCTCAGGGCCGCCTTATTATAGTCCTTTTGCTGGGAAGCTAACAAACAAGTGCTAAACCTTCCTGGGATCTATCCATCCTCCCATTAAAAGAGTTTCTTAAAGGAAGACTGTTACTAGCCCATTTTAAAGAAGATAAATGACAAGAAATGCTAACAGGTCGGTTAACAAGCATGTGGCAGAATGTTTCCCAGAGCCGAGGGGCAGAGATAAAGAAACGGGGATGCTGGCTCCTGTGTGCCTCCTGTGCCTGCCCCCTCCCCAACCCTCAGACATCTCAGCAGCAACAGTCACAGCACCCGCACAGGCTCTGTCTCTGCTCCGGGTGCCCGCTGAGCCCTGGGCAGTATCAGCACATCCTGTCCTGTGTACTCGCTGAGGTAGGCAGTCTTAGTGCCATGTTACAGGTAAAAGAATTTAGAGAGATTATACTTAATAGTTTCACAAATGGCAGAATGAGACCCACACCCAAAGCTCCACTCTCCACACTCACGGTACACACACGTTCAGCACCTGCCCTGTGTGAGTGGGGGAGGGAGGGGCGGGGGGGCGGGGTTTGGTGGGGGGAGGCCGCCCCACACAACCCTTCCTTGGTAGGTTGGGTAAGTGGGTAGAAATGGGAAACAAAGTGCCAAAATCACGCATCAAAATGATTTCCGTTCCAGGGAAAATGCATCAACTCGCAGTAAAGTGTAGAATTCATAACAGAAGGGTTTGAGGGCCTCTCCTCACTGCCGCTCAGTGGCGACCGGGGAGCTGAGGCTCGGCCTGCCCACCACACAGCTGTTGGCGGGGCCTGGGATTGACAGGCAGGACGCTGCCCTGAGGCCAGAGTGTGGGGCTGTGCCAGCTCCTCAGCTAACAAATAGCACCTCTTACCCAGATCACTGCTGCCCAACAGGCTGGCTCTTCTCTCTATCCGGAATTGTGCAGTTTTAAAGTTTTACTTTATTGTTTAAGTATTACATATAGGAGTACATCTATCTCCTTTTCCCCCCATAGACCTTCCCTCAGCCTCCCCTGCCCCCTGTCTCATGCCCTCATCCCCCTCCCCCAGTGTCTGTGTCCATGGGTTGTGCTTATGTGCATGCCAACAAGTCCTTCTGTTGACACCCCCCCCCCACCAACACTCCCCAACAGGTTGACTTTTAAAAATAAAACAACAAAAACTCCCAATACCTACAAAACAAACAAACAAACAAAAAAACCCAACTGGGCATTTTTTATTTATTAAAAAACGTAAGTCCCGCTGATGTTCCATCTTCCAATTCAACATCAGAAGTGACATTTGCTAAGCT